ATGCTTGAATTTCCGCTTTCACCTCCTTGAGTTCGGTGTGCAGTTGGTGCATCGTAATGGTATCTTCGCTGCAGGCCACATGTGATGTCACTACAGGGTGAACTCAAGGTGAAGAGGAGACGCACGACTCAAACATATTTGGTTTTACGGTGATAGCCATTCCATTGAATTTTTGGGACAAACGAAAACGAGTGGGACGCATCTCGGAATAACTGTGCACACATCGAGTCTTGAAAAAACCTAGGACAGAGGCAAATACCTGGCTGATGTCGTCCAGCACGAAGAAGTTGTTTACACGCATTTTCTTTGCGGGGCGTAGACGTCATTCTGAACACTGTCTTCTCACAGGAGTCGTTACGATTCCCTGATTATGAAGGGAATCGTTGTTTACAATCGAAGGGGGATCAAAAACGTGAAACGTGACCTCTTTTTTCCCTTATATGGGCCTTTTTCCTGCGCCTCAGTTCCATATAATTTGTGTAGCCCGCATGCCGCGGCAATGCCCGCTATGCTGCATTTAAAGATATGGTTGCAATACCTCAAATCCTCTTTTCTGCTCCGCAAAACACCTGGGAATGAACACCATTGCTGCATGCAAGGTAATAGATGAATCACAAAACTATTATTTAATTGCAAGCGTCTGGAATCTCACAGATGCTTGCACAGAAAATTAAGGGGGGGAAGAATGAAAGGACACCGGCCGAGCCTCTATTCCTGATAAGAAAAGCTACCTAAGATAGAATAGATACTCAGAGTGTAGTTCTCTAATACAGGCTGACATGGTCTCGATGGTTCAGTCATTTTGACCATCTCGGCCTCGCACGACCTACACCAGAAGTCACTGGAAAAGATTGGAGGAAGAGAAAATAATGGTGTCGAGTTGAATTTGAAGGTGCCTCCAAGTAAATGTCACAGCGACTCGGCCTCGCCCGACCTGCGGTCGGCTCGACCTCGCCGAGTCAGGAAGTGGGCAAAGATACAACTTGACTTTGTGAAGGCAAACAAAATGTTGAAACACCGGGCGAAGGAAGTGCTCCGAGATGCATGGTTCGAATCCAATTCTGCGGCAATTCCGTTGACTTGTAGCATTAACCGGGGCATTGATCAAAGGAGCCAAGCCGAATTCGGGAATGGTAGATTCCGGCGAAGAATTGCGAGCACAAGAGAGCCCGCGGAAGGACTGGACTCAGATGGGATAAAAATTGAGATGTGAGCGTTGATACTTGGAAGAAAGAGCGGAATGTGAAAAGGTAGAGATCAAAGACATTGCACGAAGGTTCCCACTCGACATCGACAGAGGATATTGCAGAGTCAGAAAGAAGGTGGTGATGGCTGCGGCGACAAGACAGTGCCAGCGGGTGCGCCGTTAACTCGCAGGACAGACATGGACATGGTGGATAAATAGCTTAAAAATGGAGAACCTGTGTAATATCCGGGGAGTAGAGACCCGACGAGTTAGCGAGTGGGGTGGGTTACGGAAAGAGCCTGGAAGAATCGCGGAGACAAGGAAGTCCGCGCCGAAGAATGAATAAAAGGCCGCAGCGCGAGTACCATTCACTTGGATGACAGACATGGTGTTTGGAAACGGTGGAGGAGGACGGTTAGTGTGCTGAAGACAAGCTGAAGAAGGGAAAGGGATTCAAATTGTCGGAACAGAAAGGAGACCTGTCCATCAAGGGTGAGAAAATGATAGCAACAAATTCCCTAATACAGACACTCGCCATCAATTTTAGGGATCCCCAAAAACCCACTATATACATAGCGGGAATGGTAGTCGGTAGCTCCGTAAGGAATTCTATATCTCCAGAGGGCAGTTTCTCATGATGCGCTTGGTTTTCGCACCCTCGGAACGATCAAGGAGTTCTGTAGAACGCGCACGGCACCCGCTCGGCGGCTGCCGCCGAGCCGTCACAACGGCCCGGCCCCCGCGAGGCCGAGCCGACCGCGAGCGCCGAGCGGGTCAAGCTTTCTGCAATACAATAAATGATCGTGAGCGCTGTAGAGGAGACACAAAACCAGTAAATACAATCGAAACAAAAGTCGTTAGAAGATGGATTGAACTTGAAGTGAATGGGGATACCCCGGGGAATCGTATTTGCCATGCGTCAGCAGTGGCCTCTAGACCAGGTTACAAAACCTGAGCTGATCATGGTTCAGTGTATTTCTATTTCCTCACCACGCATGCATGTAGATACCAATTCGTTCGGAATGCCAACGCTCAAGTTCACCAAAAGTCATTAAATTACTGATGAGATGATTCAGGTCCACGACGAGCAGTACTAATAAGCATGTATTCCAACCTGATCTTTGTCTGTGTTCATTTCCACCCAAAGAAGGAGCTGTATGGACTTCTGCAGTATTGAAACTTACTTGGCTGCTTTTAATGTCAACGGGACTGCCATCTGCAATGTTCCCTGTAGGTCATCAAGTTAACGCTCAAGCCGCAGAAAGCGACGGTCCTGCTCTTGGGCGAGCAGAGCGCTCTCCGCTTTATCTTGCAGACACTGGTCCTCGAGAAGTTGGAGAAAGTAACGTGTTGTGTGGTCTACAACCGGGTGGGTGTTCGGGTGGGTGTTGACGGGGATAAAGAGAATCAGGGGATTCAGGGATGTGTTTCTGCATGCCATATGTGGTGTCGCTGGAAGGCGAGGCCGAAAAATCCAAGACGTTGGCGTTTTCCATTTTTTGGGCCCGTTTGGTAGGGAAACAACATTCGCAAACAGTTTATTCGTGGTTCAGAGAAGGAGGGCCACAGTGGAACACATTTTGCGCAGCTACAGTACAGGCAGGGGCAGTGAGTCTCGAAAATAGGAAAACCTCGCACATACCCGATGGAGGCGATCCGAGTGGAGGTGCTTTTCAATTAACAACAAAGACTCAACGTCGATGGCGTGGATGAAGACCAGCGATAATCATTAGCGGCCGATAAGTTTCAAAACGTTGAAAAGGAAGACATTGTTTACAAGTGGTCCAGTCACATCACTTGGGGTAAGGGCCGTGGCTGTGCCCGGCAGAACTCGTATTTTAGGGTATTCCGAGGGCTCCCGAATGAAATTTGGGGGTATGGCAGATGTTTTAGAGAAGAAATCCAAGCAACAAATTGGATCTTTGCTTCTTGTTCTTGAAAAGAAAAATGCTGCGAGTGTAAGAACATGCCGGATGTGATGGGTCAAGCCATTACACAGTCCGCTCTTGGACTGTAGTCCCGCTGGTTGAAATCCTTCTATGGCCACCTAAAGACCTTGCGTCTACTCACCAGTCCTGCCGGGATTCCCGACGATGACACCTTATTCGAGGTGTTTCTGGTCAGCGACAAAGTTTGGGTGATAAGATCAATGTACTTAGTTCAATTCGGAGTTCATTGGCTTGCTAGGTAGGTCGAGGGGAAGTTTAGATGTACCTCGGAATTAGTACCAGAACATACAAATGAATGGGTGTTGAAGTTTCCCTAAGGTGGCTTACTCTCATGGCTAAAGCGGTAAAGTGTGGCCACAAGCCGACTCGGGCGGCTCGGCCGTGTATCGGCACCAAAAGTGTTGAGAGTAGAAAAATACTAGTGTAGCAGCAACCTGGTTTGCTGGTTAAATTTATTAGTGAATAAGGGGACTATATAATATAGGTAGCGAACTTGAAGAGATAGGTATAAAAAGGAATGTAAACTTAGACTACAGCTCATCGCACAAGAAGCGCAATGTGATGTGGAATGCGGTTATTGTACTCGAATCTGCCCGTGGAATTACGGTCAAATTGAAATACAATAGTTTTATTCGTCCTCTAGGGGGAAATGATTGGGCTGGTGGCGCTCTCTACTTCTATGGAGTGATATTTTATGTGGTGGTGGTGGTTAATACAGATTTCGAGAAAGGTGCTAGGTTCCTCGAGAGTTTGGTCTCTCGCTGGGGGCTAGCCTTCTGAGAAAGACGCGATGGGAGATTCTTCTACACTCATGCGAAGGATTGGCGCTCCGCAATGTGAAGTACACTCCTACTCGGTAAACCCGGGTAATGTGGTGTTTTCGTATCTCCTTGCTTTGTATAGGGCACGCAAGCAGTTTCTTCAGTAATTAGATGCCTTCTCTCTTCTTTGCGCCCCCTTTTATACCCTTTCCTGCTTCCCCATTGGTCTAACCCCGGTGCCTTTCTTCCCAAGCGTGTCTGCACCTTTTTTCTCAAACCGCGCCAGCCCTCCTTTTAAACAGCGCCCGCGCCTTTTCCTTCAAACCGTGCCAGCCTTTCCTTTAGACAGTGCCCACACCTCTTCTTCCAAACCGCACCTGCGCCTTTCTTCAAACAGCGCCCGTGCCTTTCTTCAACCAGCACGTTCTTTTCTCATATATGTCGTCATTGTTCCCCAGTCCCTAGCTATCACGGTCAGATAGCACAGCGGTTAGTGCACAGACACTTGATGGGTTCAAGGGCAATATTCAATCCGCTACCCTCGTTCGACTCGGGGTCTGGCCTTGGGAAATTTAACCACTTCTTTTTTCCTAGCTCAGCGCCTTTTTAACTCGCACATTTTTTCCGATAGTCTTTGTCGCGAGTACGACCCGGCATGTGCAATTAATGTGCAAAAGGTCGTTGATTTAATGTGGCACCCTTTTCTTGTCGCAGCGCCTTTCCACCTTCGGGGTGCGCAACACTCTTTACATTTTGATAGTTCTGCGCAACTCATTTTAATCATTGTAAGGTTCCCCAGGGGCAGAGGTAAACCTCCAAAGGTCAGAGGTAAGGTCCAAGGAGGTAGAGGTAGAGGTTAAGGCAAAGTTGTACCTCCAAATTCAACCATATGGTTTGAGGTCAGTAACCATTCTCTGGTCTAGGAAACACATAGAAGTGACTGTTTAATGCATTTACAGAGGCCCTAAAGGTGTATGGTCCTTATAAAAGACAATACCTCTCAACAGTACCTCTGAAGGTCAGAGGTAAGGTCGAGGAAGGTAAAGGTAGAGGTTGGCCCCTCTGTACCTCTACCTCTACCCCTGGGGAACCTTAAATCATCGCAGCCAGATAGCACAGCGGTTAGTGCATGGATGTTCGATTGGCAGTATTCAATCCGCTACCCTCGTTCGACTCGGGGTCTGGCCTTTAAAGCGGTAGCTTTGTTCTTCAAGGAACGAAGCTACCTCTTTTTATTTGCGAAAGTGCGCCTTCCTTTTCCGAATCATCTGCCAGTGCGCCAGTGGTTTTGAATGCGAGTGCGCTGTGAGCTATCACTTTGTGATTAGCTCTAGACGCCCTGCCACAGAGAACAAAAGCGCCTTTCAGGGTGACGGCTCAAAGCATGGTCACTGGCGCACTTGCACATTGGAAATCAATGATGGAAATCACTGGCGCACTTTTGGAACTTGACAGCTAGATCACTAGCACACTTTGGGAAGTTAACGGCGCACTTGGATTGGTTTTTGGCGCACTCAAAGATTACAAGGGGAAAGCACATTCAAAACCACTGGCGCACTTTTGGAACTTAACGGCTAGATCACTGGTGCACTTTGGGAAGTTAACAGCGCACTTGGTTTTTGGCGCACTCAAAGATTACAAGGGGCGTGCACATTCGAAACCACTGGTGCACTTACAGATGGTTCAGAAAATAAAGGCGCGCTTTCGCAAATAAAAAGAGGTAGCTTCGTTCCTTGAACGAAGCTACCACTTTAAAGGTCAGACCCCAAATCGAACGAGGGTAGCGGATTAAATATTGCCATTGAACTCATCAAGAATCCACGCACTAACCACTGTGCTATCTGGCCGTGATTTAAACGAGTCACGCACTACTATCAATGACTTACCAAAAAAGACGCACCACAAAAGAAAAAGCCTCACCAAAAGCGCCTCACCAAAAACAGGCCCAACCTCGAATTGAACAAGGAGCTCGCAGTTAGAGGAAATAACGTTGCAATAACGACTGCACGTGATACCATTATGCCACTGGGCCATATCACCACAACTCGAAACTTTCAGCTTGAGCCATCTGAAAAGGGTGCGATAGAAAATAATTACGAAGCACCCCACCAAAAGACAGGAAAAAGGTGCCGTGCATTAAATAAAAGGTGCTTCGTTCACGGGTATACCTTGAACAAAGCTACCGTGTGGACAGACCCCGAATCAAACGAGGGTAATGGACGACATGGCATTCCATAATCAAGACGTCCGTGCACTAACCACTGTGCTATCTGACCATGATACCTAGTCACCCAGGGAGCGACAACAAACACTAGAAAAAGGTGCTTAACAGAGAATGCACCACGCGCAAGAAAAAGGCGCGCGCAGGCGCTGCTTGGACAGAAGGTGCGGGGCGCTATTCCAAGGAAAGGCGCTGAGGGCTATTTAAAGGAAAGGCGCGGGGTGCTACAAAGAAAGGCGCGAGGCGCTGCGCTGTTCAAAAGAAAAGCCGGCACAGTTTGAAGAAAAGAGCGCGAGCGCGCTTTGGAGAAAGCCGCCAGAGATGGACAAATGGGGAAGCAGGGAATAGGTATATAAGGAGAGCGCGAAGGAGGGAGAAGAAATCTAATTACCTCCACTGCATACTGCTGAAGGAAAGGCGCTCCCATTAAAACGGGAGGCGCTAATCCAGTACATTGTCAAATCAAATATATTAGTGTGCCTTCACAAGAGTGGGGTACAGAATAGAAACTGCGCGAGAAACCTCCTAGACAAGAAAGGAGGGAACATTGGAAATAACAGGTGTTGAAGTGCGCGTTCAGTTGAAGAAAAGCGCGGTGCGATCCTCCAAACAGCCAGCAGACCTATTCAGGCTGCATGTAACTATTGACTTTCGGCGCTCATAACGCACACCTTGTGTGCGTAGGGCGCATTTATCGAGAAGGCGCCTTTTACCAACTCGACTATACCATTTCCCCCATCCAATTCAGCGCACTTCCCTCGAATAGCTAGAAAGGCACCTCGCACCAGGCTATTCGCGCACGCACCATTATTCAGATTGCGAAGGAGCGCACTACAATCTGACGGCGCTGTGTTTACCCAGTTCTGAAGAAACTGCTTGCGCGCCTTATACGAAGCAAGGAGATACGAAAACACCACAATACCCGGGTTTACCGAGTAGGAGTGTACTTCACATCACAGAGCACCAATCCTTCGGGCGAGTGTAGAAGAATCTCCCACCGCGTCTTTCTCAGAACCGTGAGACTTCCCGGACGGAGGCACACATTATGCTGTGCTCCTAACAAGAAGGGTACGATCCACTGGTTTCCACCTAAGCTCTACCTCTACTTATATACTAAATCCTACATACCAAATACTACAAAACATAGAAACTCAATACGGTGAAATGTATGGTATTATTCTTCGCGTTTTAATAATACTTTTTGGTCGTGATTGGAACAACATAGTTGCCACCATTTCGAAGTAGCGGGGCAAAGTGCATACCAGTGCTTCGAAGTTTGAAGTTTGAAGTGAGAACTTGAGGCGTCGGCTGACCATGGTCTGATTTGATGTCGCATCAGCGGCCCGAATGTAGCTTCAGCTTGTCTCTCAGCTCGGGCTATGCAATGACTGGATGGAAAATTGACGAGAGGTGCAGCTCAGGTGCCTGCCGACTGCCTGTCCAGGCGCAAGTCCCGATGCGGTGGCATGTGATTGAGATCATCGCCGCGTCCTCGACCAGACGGTCCAGACCGCACCGCTGAAACGGGCAGCTGCGCCTGACTATGAAACTCGCTAGGATATGCCTAGGGAATGCGCACTAAATGCAACAAACCACTAACACACACAACTAACACAACTTCACTTTATACTCCCAAGAACTGGCGCACTCCTTGGTTGAGTTCGGGTCCGAGCCGTAGTATGCGACTACTGGTTTTGGATTCCTAGGGGCAAACGAAAAGGTATCGATTTCTGTTCTGCTACTGACACTGGTCCTACTCTCTGGTCTGTTCTTTGGTACTACCACAATCCTTGACTCGAAACGCTGCACACCGACTGGTGATTTGTGAACGGGTTTGGGGGGGGGGTAGGGTACTAGGGTTACCGAAGTAGCTCCTAGGCAAAGTTTGTAAAGTTTCCGTCTGAAAATCCCAATAGGGCTATGCTGCTTCCACAAGTACTGCCTCTCAACAAGACTAGGCCAGATAACCGCCTTGCTGGACTCGCGTTTCCTGTACTAACGCAAGAACGTTTCCGTACGCTTTGGCTTTTTGGGGCCTAGGGACAACTAGCTCTGTTCACTGCGATCTACCGGTTCAATCTTCCACTGCGCTCAACCAAAGCGTTCTACCTAGCTAGCGCCTAACTTGGTGTTTAGGTCGAAACTAGCGCAGCCTCTGCGTTGCCAATGCGAAGTAACCGCGCAGCCAATGCAACGGATAAGTCTTCCTTCCTAGCGCGTGTGGCCCTCGTAGATTTTATACGTGGAGCAACGAACCGCCTCTTGTTCCAACGCGAAACTTAGTTGTTTATACTTGCACTGGTTCTCAGAGATATTCAACTTGAAATGTCACTCCGAAAATAGTCAATCAAAAACCAAGATTCGATTCTACAGACAATACAGATACAGAGGAAAAATATGTTATTCTCTCCGCAGATCGCCCGAGGACACCCACACCGTTCTACGATGAGCGGGGATGAACTGAGCTATAGCGGCTTTTTCTGGTTCTTTTTATACTACTGAGTCCTTTGAGATGAGATAAGATGAAATGAGTAATGGAGTGGTGGTGTTTGGTCGTTCGGCAAGCAAGAAAACGCTGCCGAGGTGATTCGTAATTGCGGCCAGATGAAACAGTCAGCGTGGCTGATGCTTTCCTTGGCCTAGGTGGGTCTGGTATTTGCAATGACTGGCTGCCGACTGCAGCCGATCATGCGTCATTCTTCCGAGGCGGTTCCGCGTCGCCTAGCACACTCATTCATGTCTTGTCATCCTCCGATAACGTCCGTTCGTTCGCGGTCTGAACTTCTTAGCAAGGTGACATCTCCCCATCGTTGCCAATCGTCTCCATTTGGCTTTCCCGGGGGCCGTTAGGCTAGTCCTGCTAAAATAGTCAGGTATAATCCATCCCTAGGTACTGTGCGTTCTTTCCTAGGAGACTGGCTATCGTTTCCAATCCGTCTTCCTTGGTAGCAATTGCATAACCAATGGCCCTAGGACCCTCGTCCTTGGCATCTACTTGGTTATTGCCGAGTTCTGTCCTCCTAGGCAAATGCCTGGTTCCTCTTTGTGCAGTCATTGGCTCTATATTTATAGATCCCTTGTTGTACTCCGTTCCTAGGCAGGAATATCCTCCTTAATAATGTACTTCAGAGCCTGGTATCGCTTGTAACTGCGTGCCTCAGTCTCGTTCATACTACAACCAGCAGTCGGAGCTCGCTCTGGTTCTCCTTTGTACCACCTGACAGAGTTCTGTTGATACAGAAGCCACCTTTGTCTTCCTAGGAACACTAGTGTAACTAGTGGCTTAAAAAGCGCAAAGTTTAGCTAGATGACAGTGCCTTGGTGTGGCGCCGTTTCACCGCACCCTACAGTTCAACCTAATATCTAACAGTCAACCAAGTAACAAACATATGGGCGATATACTGTCGGCACCTGTGCCGACGCGGCCGCTTAACGCAGTGATTCCCCTCATTTATCCTCACGCAGCAGAGGTCACGATTTACGTTTGCGTACGATGATTCTCCGGCCATTAAATCATTGGTTTTGCCTCTGGGGCATCTTGGCTCAAACCTCTGTACCTCAACTTGGGACTGACACCATTTAGCATCTGTTGTCACGAGGTGCGATGAGAGCCTTCAAAATCCTCAAACTCGGCATCTACCCCACCTTGGGTCGCCCACTTGGCCATATGAACCAATTTTCAAAGGTGTTTGGCTCGTATTGGTTTAAACATGTTACAGCCACACTGAAGGGCAGATTTTGGTTTGGCGCCGACCGTTGAGAGTCAATACAAGACCATTGAATTCCTCGCCATTTTCATGTTTCTGGTCCCGCCCTAAATGTGTGTAGTGACTGGTAGAATTGAGTTTCCTCGAAGCTATCTGAGTAGCTTGAACCACTCTCGTCATGGGACTTCCGACCTGCCCGACTGAGCCACAGAGCCAGCATCCACTCGATCTCCATGGAAAATGCAAATACTCATTGAAGA